CCCACTGAGCCCACCGAGGGGTCCCCCCTGACTCTCAGCTGCCTCAGCACCCCCAGCCCCCTGCGGCCCCAAGCCCCCCTCCTGCACGTGTTCTACCGGGACAGGCAGTTGTGGGGGACCCACAGGGGTCCCTGCAGCTGCTGTTGCCCGCTGTGGGGGTCTCCCACTTGGGGAGTTACAGCTGCGAGGTGCGCTCTGATGGGGGGGCTGTGTGGAAGAGCAGCAGCTCCATGTCATGGTGCACAGTGAGTGCGGGGATGGACACAGAGACCCCCACAGCCTCCTTGGGTCCCCTGCCTGGGTACTTTCTTTACTGCCAGGGTCCCCCTATCCCTCACTGGGTACTGTAACCTCTCCCTGAGTCCCCTCACCCCTCTGTGAGCTGCCCCCATGGTCCCCAAGTCTCACCATCCCCTCCCTGGGTCCCCATACCCTGTGGTCCCCCATCTCTATATCTTCGCATCCCCTCTCTAAACCCACATCGTTCCTTGGGGTTCCTTTCCAACCCCGCACACCCCCCCCTCAACTGTCTGCGCGCTCTCTCCCTCACTGGAGTCTCCCTGCTCCTGTTCAACCACCCCAGGTCCCAAACATTCACCTGGTGCTCCCCCCTTCCTGCAAAGGTCCCACCCTCAGGGGTGTCCCTGTGGGCACAGCCCCCCAGGGGACAGGTGGCACTCGGGGACCACCTGGTGCTGAGATGCGCAGTGGCAGCAGGGACAGGTCTTCTGTCCTTCTTCTGGCACCGGGGGGCTCAGGGGCACTGCTGGGCACCAGCCCCCCCCCCCGGAGATGCACCACATTGGGGACAATGACAGCGGCCACTACCGGTGGCGGGTCAGCGACAGGGACAGTGTGGCTGAAGTGTCCCCCTGAATGTCAATGTCCTGAGACAACAGGACCCTGGGGCTACAGGTGACCCCACCCATGGCATCCCCCATCCCACCTCGTTAGGTACCATTCCATCTGTGTCCCCTCAGTGCTCGTGGCCAATGCCACCATCACCCCCGGTCCCCTGTCACACCAGGTGCTCGCAGGTGACCCCGTGACCCTGCGCTGCTCAGTGCAGGTGGTCTCAGCCTCTGTCACCTTCACCTGGCTGCGTGATGGCTGGGAGGTGGCCCAGGGTCCCCTCCTGGAACTCGGGGATATTGATGTGGGACTTTCGGGCACCTACCAGTGCATGGCTACCAACCAGCTGGATGGACACCGTATGTTCCGGGCACTCAGCCCAGAGTTGGCACTGGAGGTGACCCCTTGCTCACCCTGGGTCACAGGTCACATGGGGTCGCCAGGATGGTCAGGACCCCCGAGGTTCAGGGTGACCCCAGTGTCGGGTCACAGGTGAGGTCACATGGGGTCGCCAGGATGGTCAGGACCCCCGAGGTTCAGGGTGACCCCAGTGTGTCCCTCTCTGTCCCCAGCAGTGGCTGTGAATGGAAAGTCACTGTCTAACATAGGTGATATGTATTGGAACATAACTATAAATATCAAATATGTAGTTTGTAGTATAAAAGGCAACACCAGCCCAGGGAAGGGTGGAGTGTGCCTCAGACTGACATGCAGAACAGACCTCAGCAGGCCAGACAGAAAATGTTTTAGATAAGAAATAATAAACAACCTTGAGGATGACAGCCAAAGACAGCTGACTCCTTCTTTGATAGCTGGGTTGGGGAAGAGAGACTCATAACACACCTCTGGATCATCTCAACCTGAGGAAAACCCAAGATGGTGGTGCAGAAGCGTAGGAATTTATAGGATTTGAGGATTTTAGGAAAGTTGGGAAAAAGAAAGGTTTTAGAGACAGTAAGGATAGTGAAATGCTAAAACAACAGAAAAGATATATTGGCAGTAGCGAAGACATGAGAAATAGAACTGTGTAGTTTGGCTTTTTAAGTTACAAAAAGTATATTTTAGCAAATATTTAGAAGCTTAAATATGAATGGAGCTCTGTGCTTTGTCTCTTATAAACGAACCATTGTATGAGAGAAAAAACTGCTATTGTTTTAACTAAAGCTACGTGTGCTTCATGTGGTTGGATAGAACTACTGTCAATATGCTTTTGCTCTATGTGATTGGCTGAGACTGGGTCTGAGATTGTTTTATGGTATGTTGCAACATTAAGTTTCCTTGGCCTGTTGTCTGGATAGCGAGCCGCTTACATCGATCTATTGTCATAGTTATGTAATGAGACTGATGCTGCTTAAATAAACAACTCATGACACTATTCAAATGTCATCCCATTCCGTTTGTGTCTGTATATAAACAACCAACGTCACAGAAGTTCTGGGGGGTTCAGGGGTGCTTGGAGTGTCTTGGGGGAATCGGGGTCCACTGGGAATTGGGGCCACAGTGTGGATTTGGGTGTCCTGTGGGTGGTTGGAGCTGCCGAGGCCCTGGGAAGATTCAGGGGTCTTAGGGTCCCCATGGTCACCCCCTCCCCTTTTCCTTCCAGCCACCGGGAAGCCC